GCTGCCCTTACAGGTAGGCATTTAGTGTCTGGCCGAATGTTTTTAGAGAGCAGGGGATTCCAACAAATCATGTGGCTCCCCTCATCCTTGAGCTCACTCTGGTTATGACAAATGAGGCCAATTCTGTCTCTTGGCAGTTTTTACCCAGTGACTCAACATAGCGCCCCGAAGCAAGTCTATTCCTCCTTTGAAATGCAGAACTCCAAAATAATCAGAAGATAACTACTTAGAGCTCCCCTTTGTCATCCAGAAGAACCTATTTCCATATAAGGTAACTCCTCTCCGGTCAAGGGTTGCTAGATTCAGCAAATAAAAATACAGGATGCCTAGTTGACTTTGAATTTCGGATAAACGAGGAATACTTTTAAGTATGAGGGTGCTCTGCGCACTATTTGGGACATACTTATCCTCAAAAGTATTCCTCATTTATCCGAAATTCAATTTAACTGGCCCTCGTGTGTTTTAGCTAGCAGCCCCACTCTGAATGCATTTTAGGTTGCAAATATTTTAAATATGTAGTGTTTGTGTCCCAGTTGAACCCCGAAGCAGAGCTCAAGTGGGGTGAGAAAGGCTGGTGGGGGGGAAATGGTAAGGGGAAGGAAAGAGGACCTCCCCCCTTCTTCACTTCCCCGCCTCGCGCACTTGTGAATGCTGTGGTGCCTTCCTAGGAGGGCACGAAGACCCCTCCCTCCCTGGCCCACCAGCTGCCAGGCACAAGGTCAGGTCTGGTGGGGCAGCCCTGGCCTTGGGGAAGAGTCTCCTCTGACATCCTGAAGCTCCTTCTAGCGACTTCTAACCTCTGGCACGAGGCGGCTCTTCTTCCTCATCACTGACTCTGTTGTGTCTGTTCACTGTGGGAGGTGTTTTCAGCCCAGACGAGGGGGTAGCTGCGGAATGCTACACACAGTGGCTGAGCCTCCCTTACCTACTTACCCCCATTCAATTCCCTTTGCTTTGGCCTCAGTCTTCTTCCCTTCCTTTGTAGCACTGTAGCTCTTCCCATACATCCGACTAGATTATAAGCCTCTCTAGGGCAAGGGCCAGATACATGCTCTACTTCCTAGGAATGCCTCACTTTTCTGGAGGGCTTTTATTGCAAAAGGCCACCCTCCGTCCATTCTTTGCTTTTCCCCTCATGCTCTTGCGACCCCGTGGGGGGGTGGGGGAGTCAACGCTGTGGGGGCGGGGACTCAGGAGACACTTTTGACCTGGCAGAAGTACAATCAGGGGCAGGTCTGGTCATCTAAGAACACTTTCTCCAGTATCTCCCGTGCCAGCCTGAGGCTGGAAGTCACAGAGCACAGGCCTCGGCAGGACCATGCTTAACCCATTCCAAACAGATGAGGCCCTTACTGTTTTCCAAGCTTGACGGTTGGGCATTTCATAACTTCCCCCGTGGGCTTCCCTGCGGTGGCAAATGACTGTCACTCATCAGGAAAGGAAGGCCTCCTCTCCCCACTCTTCCCTTGTAACTCCTTTGATTCTATTTATTTATTTATTTATTTATTTGAGAGCAAGCAAGAGAGATAGCAGGAGTGGGGGCGGGGGGTGGGGGAGCAGAGGGAGAGGAAGAGAATCTCAAGCAGACTCCACGCTGAGCACAGAGTGTGACGACCTGGGGCTCCATCTCCTGAGACCATGCCCTGAGCCGAAATCAAGAGGCGGTCGCTTCACTGAGCCACCCAGGTGTCCCCCTCTTTTAACTCTTAATTCCATCCTCTAATTCTATGATTAAATCTTACATTTCTTTTTCATTAGTAATCCCCTTAACTTCTGTAGGGGAAAGACACCTGGAAAAAAAAAACAAAAAACAAAGACGTATTTTAATGAAAATGATTAATGGAATGAAAGGTTGAACACACTCCTACCCCTGCCACTCTGCTGAAGTAGGGTTAGGGTCATCTGAAGACTGTGTGTGTGTGTGTGTGTGTGTGTGTGTGTGTGTGTGTGTGTTCATGGGCTGGTGGGATGGCAGAACTAACATACCAGGTCTGGGTGAATCTTAGAACAATCAGCAAATTCATTCACTGGGACCTTTTAATATTTCCATTCTCAACTTTAGATAATAGGGTGACTTTCCTGATCTCAGCAGGAAAATCTGTCAGGAGTGAGAGTGTGAGGACCTTCACCGGGTTTTCAGGGGCAATGCCTGTAGGCAGATATGTGTAATCAAGAGACAAGGATTGGCTGTTGTGACCAGAGCCTCCCATGGTCACTGTGATCTGGCAAAGGAAATCCAGGGTACGGCTCAGCTCCTTGGGGATGGGTGTGGGTCAGAGTTGCTGGAGGAATGAACCCTTTTGCCCCAGGCAATCCCGCAGACTAACCAAACTGAGAACAATTGGCTGGGGCGAAGGCCTTACCCGCAAAGGAGGTTACTCACTCTGGCAAATAAATATCTTTCATAATAAAAGCATCATTGGATTCCAGAGTCGTGAATTAACAAAGTGTGCTGGTCTGCTGCGGGTGTTGTGTTTCTTTAGGATTTTACCCTTTGATAGTCAGGGCTATGCAAAGGGTGGTGGTTATGAGCAACTGTCTGGAGTTGAGTTATTAACTTACACTCATTTTCTGCTACAAAACGGCTGTCTTGGGCTGACTCTTGCAACACAGCTGACTGCCCACTACCAACAGGCTATCCACTTCAGTCCTCATTCTGCCTGCCCTGCCTGGACAGTCGTATTTATTATTTCCATTTCAACCACTAACCACTGTTATTTCCATGATTGAAAATGCATCATTAATTTAATAACACCTAGGGGTGGAGAGGGGAGGGGAGAAGAATCCCTATCATATTAAATATACAACATCAACAGTAAGCACATCCCTACACCTCACAGCTTCCCGATCGTTCCAAACTCATTTCACAGTCATCTCCTCTGAGCAGCTTTTTTGGGCAACCTTTCCCAGGACTGACCACTCCCTGTGTCACACCTACACCTTGTATAGGCTGTCACACCTACCAAGTCGTGAAGCACAGACTGCAAGCACCGTTAAGGGCAGGAACTATCTTATCCATCTCTGTGTTCCCAGGGTCTAGCCCAGTGCCTGGCATGAATTCAGTCTATAAATATTTACTGAAGACCTATCATGTGCCAGGCACACCTCCAGACTTGCACTTACTTGTTAAACAAAAGAGTTTCGGGCATTGACTCATTCCTTTTTTAGCCAAAAAAAAGGGAGTGGTATGTATGTTGTGCTGTTTTAGTAGGCTCAAGCTGCCATGGTGAATGCCATAGACCAGGTAGCTTAAACAAGAAACATTTATTTATCATAGTTCTGGAGGCTGGAAGTCCAAGATTTAGTTCCTGGTGAGGGCCTTTCTCCTGATTTGCAGATACTGTCTAGCTGTATCCTTACACGGTGGAGAGATCATCTATTTTGTGTCTCTTCTTATAAAGGCACTAATCCCATTCACAAGGGCTCCATCCCATCCTCAGGACCTAATTACCCTCAAAGGCCCCACCTCCAAATACCATTAGGGGTTAGGGTTTTAATATATGAATGGGGGGGGGGGGGAAGGATACAAACATTTAGTCCAAGCATGTGCTAACCTGAATGTCACCAAGTGCCAAAATGTGTGGTCCAGACATTAAGTGCTGTGGGTGGTTAAGAAAGGAAAAGATTCAAGTTTCCAGAGGGGCCAGGCCTTACTCTTCTTCTCTGTAGTTCCAGCATCTCCCAGGGCCTAACATTAGGCCTTGCACTTGAGGTCGATTGAATTAAATTCCAAAACTTCTCAGAGAAATTCTAGAGGGTTCCATGAGATGGGAAGAAGAAAGGGATTTCAGGGTGGGTGAACAGTATGAAGAAAGGCTCAGTGGCAAAAATGAAATAAAAATTTTTTCTTTATTGTGTTAAAACAGAATTTACCATTTTAACCATTTTTAAGTGTATGGTTCAGTGGCATTAAGACATTCCCATTGTGTGCCACCGGGAAAGAATTTTTGAGTCCCTTTCACAGGGGTCCATACCTGGCTAATCACACACTTGTAATTGGAAATAAGAAACACTTGTTAGTGGAAGTAATGCTGCATCAGAGTTAAAGCAGGGCTCCTCTCACCAATCTGGGCAGTTTGTCCATTCACAACTGTGACGTGTGTTGCACGTATTAATGAAAGGCTGTGGTCCTGGGGGGCATTGGGCATCAGGGTTGCTCCCTATAGGAGCACCCTATAGGAAACCTATAGGATTCACTTTGTGAATCACCCTTGTGAAGTTTTAAACAATGAACACTATTTTTTTTTTTTTTTCAATACTGGGCCTTTTGTGTTCAAATTAGAAGCACAAAACCCTATTGTGGGGAAAAAAGTCTTTTTTTTTTTTTTTTTAAAGATTTTATTTATTTTTATTTGAGAGAGACAGAATGAGAGAGAGGGAGTACATGAGAGGAGGGAGGGTCAGAGGGAGAAGCAGACTCCCCACTGAGCAGGGAGCCCGATGCGGGACTCCATCCAGCGACTCCAGGATCATGACCTGAGCCGAAGGCAGTCGCTTAACCGACTGAGCCACCCAGGCGCCCGAAAAAAGAGTCTTTATTGGTAACCGGTTGTGTCCACTTAAAGCAACACATATTTAGTCTTAAGAGTACATTCCATATGAAGAACTGTAGCTATTAATACACTTGGTTGGTTTGTTTGTTCCGCATGGGTTTACTTGTGGGAAGTGTTCTAATCAATGCCATAGGCACCCTGGAGAGGGGAGGCCCACCTCCCGTCCACAGGGCTGCGTGCGAGCAGAGCCTGTGAGATCTAGGTTCTGCTCTTGGCACTTCGCTGTGAATCCTTGGGTAGGTCACCTGAACATTTATGGCCTTGTACCACGAAGAGGTTGGAACCCCCCATGACCTTTAAAGTCCTTTCATCTCTGGGCAAGTCCTACCTGAGTCATTTTTAGCAACAGCCCAGCGGCTGGTGGGTGGGGTGCTGAGCCTGGGACGAGTGGGTGAACGGCGGGGAGGGAGCTGAGGGAATAGCAGACACGCGTGGGTGACTTCAGAGGGACGGGAACGCGGGGTGTCCCGGAATGGAGCTCAGGCGATGGGGTTTCCAGACGAGTCCTTCCCGGGCCAACTTTTAAAGGTCGGAGGAAAGTTTGTCGTGGGGCGGGGGCCCGAGGGGAGAGCGGGGTGGGCTCCGACGCCTCCTCCCCTTTAAGCGGGTGGCGGGGCGCTGCCTCCGTTACCTGGAGCGGGGAGGGGCTTGGGAAAGTTTGTGTTTGTTGCTGGCAGAGCGCCGGATGGGAGGCGCGGGCGGGCGCTGCGGCTCTTCCCTTTTGCTTTCGGGAAGCGGTCGGGGCTGCGCGCTCCTCGGCTCGGCGGGGCGGCTCCGGCGCCCGGCTGCCGGTGCCC